GTCCCTCCCTGCTGCTTGAGGAAGAGATTAACACCTGAAATATTCCTGTTGCACTTCCAGATCCACCCCGGCGGAATTCCCACGTGAGCTCACGCAGGGGCGGCCCCGCAGACCCAACCAGAACCACCAGGGCAGTGGGTGTGTTTGTGCTCTCCTACAAAGGCCCCAACAATTCCTTTTTCCCCTTCAAACCAGCCCCTGAACTCTCACTTGGGAAAGGGAAAGAAAATCCCCTCCGGAGCAGCAGCACAGGCACAACCTCAGGGCTACAACAGCGGCCTGGTGGGGCTCCAGGACCTGAGTCCGCTCTGGGAACATCACCAGAACTTCCCTGACAGCTCAAGGCTCTTTGGAAAAGGAAAGAAACAACTGGAAGTGTTTCCAGTTCCTTCTCCTTGGGAAACCTGGCCAGACCATAGCTGGGGGAGCAACCGTCAGGCTTCCAGCTGCCTCATCTGCCTGTGGAGGAGTCCTGCAGCCCAGCCTGACCCAGCTCCGCTCCGACACCGCTTGCCAGCCACAGTGGATGAGCCAACACTGGGAATTTTAGGATGGGGGACATCCTGGTTGCACCAGGACCTCTGCTTTCCATTCTTTTTCCACAGCAGCTGCTCCAGAGCAGACGAAGCCCATCCTAATTAGTATTTCAGAGGGAAGGCCGGCACATCAGAAGGAAAATCGGGCGCCCCTGCACGTTCCCAGGCTCTGGAGTTCGGTCAGCACACCTCAAAATAAGGCCATAATTTATTCCTTTTAACTCAACTGCTGCTCATTAGCAGGAGCTTGTCTTAAAAGTGATTTCACAAGGGGCCTTTTGTCAAATTTACACTGGAATTTGTCAGTTTGAGATTAAGCCCCCGTGTTCACCAACCTGATACCCGGCTCGCTCTAAAGCATAAATTACCATCTTAATGGAGCTCGGGTCTATTGGAGGCCCCTCCACTGGAAGCTCATTATAATTCACCTCCCCAAAAGTCCCTTTCCCTGCTTTGCTGAGCCAGGGACAGGTTTGAGGGCAGACTCCAGCTTTCCCTACCAAAGGGAAGGAGCTTCTTCCTCCTAAGCCTTCCAAAGGAAGAGCCTTGGGAGGGAGGAGTGAAAGCAACCAGGAAAGTTGGGTCTCCCCCACGGCAGCGGCTGGGAAGACGCTCCCACACTTTGCAGGTCTCCTTTGTGCCACATCCCAGGTTTGTTCCCGTTCTTCCCAACCCCAAAAGAGGGGGATGAGAACCCAGCTGTGCCCTGTGTCAGCAGCCCCATCAATCCCAAAACGACGGGAGGAAAACTCGTGGATTCCAATTTAATCCCCACCCCGAGGGGGGAAGTGGGGGAACCCCCCCAGACATCCCTTTGTCCGGGCACCTTTCCTGGCTCAAAGCCGGGAACAAAAGCAGGAAAGGCCGTTTCACAGCGAGGAAAACCTTCTCCTCCACCACATCGGCTTCTCTTCCCCCCCTTTCCTCAAACAATGCCTCGTGTTTGTAACCTGCGATCCGCCCTCCCGCGGCATCTCCCGGGGCTCCAGGGACGCAGGAAGCGGGAGGATCCTCCAGCAGAGCTCGGGAGCAGCGGCACTGCCATGTTTTTTTTCCCTGCGGCGCGGGCTGCATCCTCCACAATAGGACAAAGCCCCTCCACGGCTCATCCCCCTCCCCGCGCCGCGCCCCCGTCAGCTGTCAGCTCTCCTCAGGGAGCACCGCGATGAAGCAGGAAAAAGGGGTTGTGTTTTTTGGGGGGGGGGGGGGGGGGGGGGGGATAAGGGAAATTTGACAGGCTCGCCAGCCTCTCCC